TGTTAGGTATGTCTAAAAATTAAAAAAATTGCTTAAAATATTTTAAAAATTCGGTAAAAATAAAAAACACGAAAAACAAGAAAGTAAAATTTTCTGAAAAGTATTTTTAGAAAACTCTAACCAAGCAAATATGTTTGGCAATTATTAAAAAAGTCACTCATTTTCTTATTTGTATTACAAAAAATTTGTTGTTTAAGTCCTTGTAGTTTAGAAGGACATAAATTATTTATTTATTTATTTATTTTTATAAAATTTAAAACCAAAAATGACAAATAATAAAAATATAAACTTTTAATAGTGATTAATGATTTGAATACATGTATTTAATAACATATTATGTTTAGATCAATAATATTATGACACATGTGAATATTCCAATTGTAGTAACATAATTTTTAAAAAAAATTAAGTTTAAAATTTTATTTTATAATTTAATAAAAGATGCATAAATTAAGGGATGAATATTGATCTTATTCTGCTCACATAATTTAAGGAAGAAATCTAAATTTAAATTATCACATATAACTCTTTTTTTTTTATTATATTAAAAAAAATTTCAGCAACTATGACTTTTAATAGGAAAAAAAAATGTTTATTTCAATTTGATTTTAGAAAAAGTCACTTCTTAACTATTTAAGCCAAAAAAATTTATTTTTTTATTTTAATTTGTTTAATTGACAATTGAGATAAGATAAAATTAACAAAATCAATTTTGTTTGGCAATTGTTAAAAAAGTCATTCATTTTCTTAATGTTTTTGTATTTTGTTAAAAAAAAATATTTGTATTTAAAAAAATTGTTGTTTAAGTCCTTGTAGTTTAGAATGGCAAAATTTTATTTATTTATTTATTTATTTTTATAAAATTTAAAACCAAAAATGACAAATAATAAAAATATAAACTTTTAATAGTGATTAATGATTTGAATACATGTATTTAATAACACATTATGTTTAGATCAATAATATTATGACACATGTGAATATTCCAATTGTAGTAACATAATTTTAAAAAGAATTTAAGTTTAAAATTTTATTTTATATTTTAATAAAAGATGCATAAATTAAGGGATGAATATTGATCTTATTCTGCTCACATAATTTAAGGAAGAATCTAAATTTAAAATTTTATTTTAAGAATATAAAATTAATTTATAAACCAATCATATTGTGACACATATTAACAAAAATTAAACAAAATTAAAAATAAAAAAAATAAAAAATAAATAAAAAAGAAGAAGAAAAAAAAAAAAAAGAAGAAGAATTGCAACTTTAAGCTTTAATAGGATGACAACATTTTTCAATTATAATAGTATGTTGATTTTGTATGAGGTTTTGAAACTCTCATAATATCTCTTCTTAGAAACATTCTTTTGTAAAATATATAAATAATCTCAACATCACTCTTATTGCTCATAAATACAAAAATTATGAGCCAATTATGATCATTTTAAATTTGTATTTAAAACTTATAAATCATGGGATAGATCATTATAAATTTAAATTTATATTGTGCCAATTTTAAATTTAAATTAATAGATTATTTTTCATATTTAGTTGCACTCAAATTTGAATTTTGAAATGGATTAGTATACTTTTTATTTTATTTTTTTTAGATTTGATATACTTTTCATTTGAAAGTCATAAATCAAGGGATATTAATTTTTATTTATTTATTTATTTTTGCTTGAATAAGAATTAGCCAATAGAATATTTTTTTAATTTTTTTAAATCAAAAAATTATGAAATTTAGATTAGAAATTTGGAGCTCCCATAAGAATTGTGGGTTAAAAACCCCTTTTTCCTTATATAATATATAGATTTGATTAGGAAAATTATGAAGAAGGATAATTTCTCAAAAGATCATTTTATCCTTTTGAATTATTTACAATGATAATACTAAATTTGAAATATATTTTAGTTTTTTTTTTTGAAATATATTTTTTTATTAAGACCATTTTTAATTTTATTTAAATATGACATTAGAAATATATTTTCATTTATGATTTTGATAATACAAAAAAGAAAAAAAATAAGAAAAGACAATAATATATTGGGCACTCAGTCCATAAATCTTATTTTGAATTTCTTATATCCAAAACTCAATGTTGTAAACACTTCATTTTGACTGACCCTAAGATTTTGGGCGCTTGCGAGCCTCCCTATGATGAAATGGTAATTACTTCATCTTTAGAATGTTTAAGGTTGTTTGGAGTTGCTGTATAAACATATTTTGGCCAAAAATTAACCAAGAAGCCCGGTTATGCTTTGATCGAATATATTTTCTAAAATTAGTGACCGGTTTTATAAAAAATATCGATCATAAGACAATTCAGGTTTACTTGAGCCACAAGCAAGCCAAGAGCATGGACCCCGCACTTGTGCATGCATGTACGACATGTGCCCCAAGGCAAAAATGTGAGTGCGCACATCCAAGCGTGACAGAGTTATTTTAACAACTCAATCTTGATGCATTTCTGGTAAGAAGCAGAAGAAAAAGCGATAGGGTTGCCCTAACTTGCCTCCCATGCCTCTCAATTCCTATGTAAACAACCTCTCCCCCCTCCTTTTCAAGGGGTTTAGAAATTAGAGCTTTTGTGAGTTTTGAAGAGAGAAAACACCACTCTTCTTCCTCATCTGACCTTAACTCCAAAAATAACACACCACAAGGCAACTCTAAACTTATCGAAAAATGTTCTAAGGCTTGAAGAACACGAATCCTAATTAGAACCTAAACTTGAGGAAGGTTTGCAAGTAAGGAACTTGAGCTTTCTTTGTATTTTCTTCACGTTTACTCCAACCAGCAAGTAAATCATCTTCTTTCATTAATTTCAGCACCTCTTTTGTCTTTATTTCAATATGCAAAGCCTGTTAGGACATTAATCCATCATAACATCATGTAGTTTCTTAATTTAATTCACTTTTTCGTCTTATTTTGCATGTTTCATCTATCCTCTTTAGAACAACATGTTTAGGACTTGTTAAGCATATAGGAATCATGCATTAGGCTTGGTTTGAACGATCATGTAGTTTTAGCATTTTTCATCTTTTACTTGCTATTTGCTCTTTTTGTGCACATCATATTAGTAGCCTCAAGTTGTGCCCAGGGTCATTTTTGTATGTATTAGTTGCATGATTAGGTCATGTTTAATTTATGTATTGCATGAAAGACGCGTAAGGGGCATCCGGGTAAGTTTTCTTCACTTTATTGGCATGTGTGTACTATTTGCATTGTCTTTTGAATAATGCAAGTCTATATGCTCTTTATGTGCAAAATTGTGTATTTTGTATATTTTCATGAATATTGTGTATTTTAGTTTATATTTTAGGCCTTGAATTATCAAAAATCCACTTTTAATAATAATAATAATAAATCTCATTTCATGAAATATATGGCTTTATTTATTCAAATTACATAGGTTTTAGGTTAGTTAATGGTTTTAGGGTTTAAAATGAATTTGTATGAATAATTAACCACTAAAATCATAAAATAGAAAGTGAGTAAGGGCTAGTCTTCATTGTCCAAGAGGGGCTGCTATCATTCAATGACCTTCCCCTCTTGTACCTATGCTCGTGAACCCGAAATTTTCTTAGTTGTGATAGACTGGTTATTAACTTAGTTTTTTTTGTTAACGATTTCTTAATTCCCCTTAAAAAATGAAGTGGCGACTCTTTGTTAGTCAAAACAAGTTAGTGTGGGATGCATGTCTGAGACTCGAAAAAGGCACTGCGCCCACACTTACTAAACTAGTATGCCCGTAAGGACACGCTAAACTAGTATGCCCATAAGGAGGCCGGAGGCTAGAACCTCTCTCCATCATAGCAGTGGTACACCCAGAAACCCTAAGAGATGAAAAGTTTAAAGAGAAGCTCTAAGTTTAGATTTAGACTTAATTTTTTTAAGTTTTTGAAATAGAGGAAGTTGAGACCATTTTTTAATAAAGCAAATCAAGCATTACACCACTAAACAGTGCAACGTCTCAATTGAATCGCTCTCATTCTCCATTATGTACAGGGCTGGCCCTGGACATAGGCCTACTAGGCCATGGCCTAGGGCCCCTTAAACTCAAAAAAGAGGCCCCCTCCTATTATAATTTAGTGTAATATATTAGGCATATTTTAAGTTCAAAAAATATTAAAGAAGGCCCAAGCTAACTTAAAATAAATTGACCAATTCAAAAATTAAAAAGCCCATTCAAAAAAATTAGCATTGTTATCCATTGACAATAGACTCAAAAAAGGACCCCCCTCCTATTATAGTTTAATATAATATATTAAGCATGTTTTAAGTCCAAAAAAAAATTAAGGAAGGCCCAAACTAATTTAAAATAAATTAATTCATTAAAAAAATTGAAAGGCCCATTTAAAATAATTAGCATTGTTATCCATTGAAAATGATTTTGCAAAAAAACTAGATTATGCAAGTATGATTAATTTATTTGCTTCTAAAAATCCAAGAAAAGCGAGAATCAAGTGATACTTATTAGTTGTTATAATGCAATATTAAGTACTAGCATATGCTCGTGCCTAAAGGCACGGTGTAAATAATATTAAGATTAAAATGCAGTTATAAAAATATATTTAACAAATTGTACTTTACAATTCCAAACAAATCAAATATAAAAAACATTAAATATCAAATAATGCATACCTGCCAGTGCTTTGCAATTTAAAAAAAAATTAAAATTAAAATGAACACCAGTTAGTGCTACTGCTGCCAATCAAATTATAACTACATAAGAAAATTTTAACTACTCATAATTTTTTGGCTTGGTAATTAACTGTCAACTGCTCATAATTTTTTGATGATACATTTTCCTTTTTATTCCATTATGATGATACATTTTCCTTTTTATTTTCAACATGTGTACATGTAGAATAATCTTTAAAAGGAAAATCACTTTATAACTATTATTACATTTTTAGGAATCACCAAGTTGATGGTCCTCCAAAGTGATCATGAGGCCAAATATGATGTTTTCATAATCCTGTTTCATGTGTCATACTGATTCAGCATTACAGTTTCACACACATATACAAACACACACACACAAGTCACTGTTGGAAACCTTATTCATATCCAAATGCATGTAATGTGACGCAGAAAACCTTACATATATACAAACACACACCATCTTTTGTTAAAAGCAGAAAACACAAATAGGAAAGACCCACCTAATTTGGAGCCAAGAGTCTTTACCTTAATGTGAAAACGTAATAAACAGAGTGATCTTTACCCTGACCATACATTTCAGGCAGCCAAACTTTATTAATAAATCAATCAAACTCTGCCAATTTGCTGCATAAAACCTTCAACCTTGCTAGCAAAAAAAATTAATCAATTGAAGAGTCCAAGGAGCCTCACTGAAACATAAAATACAAAATGTCATATTAAAGTATTAAATTCGGATGAGATAAATTTGAACATACATATGAATATGGAAATTGGAAACATCAAAAAACAAAGCGCACATTAACTACAATCAGTAATAATACTGAAACAAAACACTCGAGTTGCCTCCACTCCTGAATACTTGATGTAGGCAGCATGAAATCTTTTCCACCCCATTCAACATGCAAAACTACACTCCAATGTAATAAACTAAAAAAATTCCTTAGTATATTTTGTAGAAGGATGGGTGAGAAATATGTATAAGGATGGGTGAGAAATATGTTTTGTTTTGCCCGTGCAATAAAAATAATAAAAATAATTATACTAATATACTATCTATTTTATGTTTAGAGATATTATAACCATTATACTATACACATTTTAATATACTATCCCATGTTAATAGACTATCCATAGAACCATTATACTATACACATTTTAATTCTAATAAATCTAGAGAAATATCCATTTTAATAGAATTATTATATTTTCAAATACTGAATTAATATTTCTCACCCATCCTTAATTATGTTTATCGTCATTCAATATGTTCTAGATGTATAAGATATTGAATGTTTCTCTAATATTGTAGAGTACAGTCAGTTTTATTCAACATAAAAATAATAATGGTTCACTGACTGTATTTTTAAATGTGAACATATCTTTAAAATGTGAATCAAACACCCCATTAGTTAAAAATCTTCAGTGAACTGATAATACTCTTAAAAATAGATGGGGTGTTCACTGATGGGGTGTTCACTGAAACTACAGATTTACCTCTCCCCATCAAATAGTTTGAATTATTAAAATGTGAGCATATAATAATCCTTTCAAGAAAATATAGTCAGTGACTGTTCTAGAAATATAATAAATATTTTGAAAATAGAGATAATACAGTAAATGGTTCACTGGCTGTATTACTGATGTGTATTATCAATGAATATGTATTTGTTTTACTGATGTTTTGTTTTATAGACTATCAGTGAACACCCCATCACTAATTATATGTTCACATTAATGTCCTAGAGATATGCCTTACAAAATCTGTTATGTTTTATTATAAGATTTAGAATAATATGTGAATCAAACAAAAGCAGGGGTATGTAACACCTGATATTGCCAAATCCTCTCGTACTCAGCTCCAACAAAGATTGTAGAAAGAAAAATAAATCGATTGAATTGAATTGGGTCTTCTAAAACTTCAGCTTCAATTCTTTATTTTTGCCTAAAATTGCAACACACACTGAAAATTCATCAACAAAAGAACCAAAAACAAAACAATTAATGATAATAGACAAAACCCATGAAGCCGTACCTGGAAAACCAATAGCTACCTCTTCGTCTCCAAGGGCTTCAACGGTGATCTCGCCATCTCCGGATCCAAGAAAACAATCTCCGCCAGCTGATCTCTACGTGAATGATCGTCTTACCATCCACGGCATCGACGGCATACTGGACCCTAACTCTGTGTCCAAGTGCATGTTTTCTGATCAAACGCTTCTGATAAAATATAGAGGAATCGATCCATCTCCATCTCAATCTCAATCGCCTCTTGATTATGCGGTTAAGGCTATGAGCAAGAGAGGATTCAGTATGGTCGCGACCGCAATGGCCGTGAAACGCTCCAACCTGATCAATCTGGACGCCATAACGGTATTCGCTCCATCAGATTCGAGTTTGTTCTCCGAATCTAATGGATTTCGGTTCGATTTCCTTCGCCACGTTGTGCCGGGACGATTGGAGACACTATCTCCTCACAAGAAGGTGGTTATTCGATCAGCAAACGGCGTCGTAACTGTCAACGGCATTACGCCAATCGGTGGATTGTTGTGCTCGCTGTTTCACACACCATAGATGAACTCAAACATTCTTCAGCCAAGGGTCCGATTTCGAAAGGGAGAGAGAGATAAAAAGGGAATGGGGAGACGTGGGTTGGTGGAAAGCTCCAGAGAAATGTTTGGGCGGGACTATAATTGATCTGAACATTAATATAAATGTAAGATTCATCTTAGCTGTTCAAACGAAATGTATCTGTGATACATTTTACACATTTTCAAAAATCCTTTTATCTTATTATATAGACTAGCGTATGCTCGTGCCTGAAGTCACGATGTAAATAATGTTGGGATTAAAATATAATCATAATCCCAACATTATTTAATCAATTATCAATTTAATATAATTGTAATCCCAACCCTTTAGTCTATTTTGAAACTGTCATTTCCTAATGTATACTCTTCAAAAGCAGAACTACTGTAATCCCAAATTTGAAGAGTGAAAATGACAGTAAAAGATAAAAGAAAAAATCATTAGGCTTTTTTTTTTAGTCCAAAAAGACAAAAAGTGCACTTATTTAGTCTTCCCAAACTTGACCTTAATATAATTGTAATCACAACCCTTCAGTCTATTTTGAAACTGTCATTTCCTAATGTATACTCTTCAAAAGCAGAACTACTGTAATCCCAAATTTGAAGAGTGAAAATGACAGTAAAAGATAAAAGAAAAAATCATTAGGCTTTTTTAAAAGTACTTGTACTTGATTTCAAGAAAACATATCCAGGTGATGATGTGTTTCGACTATCATCATAAATTTGTTCAGAACCTTAATTGTATTATTTCTTTTTCTTTTTTTATAATAAAAAAAATACAAATTAGCCAAGTTCTTTAAACCTACCAATTCCACAAAACCATTCAAATGGAGAAAAATGTCAACCCTTCATAACATGAATTCAAGAAACATCACTGTACAGAGAAGGTTCAAAATAGAACCATGAAGCAAGCAATTAAACCCAAAGGCAGAAAATTCACTTGACTCAACATTCAGGCCTGTATCTTTTGAGTGAAAATTTTGGCAATGAGAGCAATCCAAGTAATATTTAAAATATACAACATTTATAAATTAGTATATATATACATATAATAAGGTTCCTTACAACAGTACTCTTAACCAAAAAACACTTCCAATGAAAGTACATACACACACCAGCAACATGATCAATACAGGAATAAAATTTTAACCTTCCAGCATATAATAGAAACATTATTTTCCAAAAATTTTATAAGTCCATTAGTGAGATTAAGCAATTTTATTTTTTATTTATTAAAGTTTAAGAATCAAGCAATATACCTTAAAAGCCCCAGCAGTTACTCTCGAATCGCCAGTATCTTGTTCAAGACTTTCTGTCCTTGTAGAGCCAGACCTTGTGAGTGCATTTTCTGAGGAACTCAATGACGACTCAAGATCTAAAATTGCACTTCTCTTTACAGGTGCGAAAGGAAGTGCTCTCAACATATGACTCTGCTTGCCATCCAAGGACTGGAAAGCAATAACTTGGATTCTTCCAACCTGAAAATCCCCGAATGTTTTAAAAATAACCATGCTTCCACGTATTTTTATAAAATTTCCTTTTGACTTGTCAGTAACTACCACAAACCTTATGCACATCTTCACTAAAACATGAAAATATCAGTCCAATGAACCCAGAATCTAGAAGTTGATACATGGCTTGCGTCCGCATATATGAAGAAGACATAAAGATTTAGCAGATCTTATTTAAGTAGCCAATAATAGAACTACTGGCAGAAAATTAAAAAGAAAAGGTTTCAAATCAAGCCCCAAACATGAAGAATGAATGAAAGCATTGAAATGTTCAACCAACACATTTTATATTTAGAAACATTTAGATATTCACATAGAACATTACGTTGTTAATTGACACTTACCAACATGGGAAGGAAGAACGGTGATGTGAGGATGTGAATGGTACAAACCAATTACTCTAGTTGTTCTTCCTGTTGCTGAAGTCATTATGTGCTATACAGTTAATCGCACAAAGCCTCAAAACAATCTCAATTATGGTACTGACAACTACTGTAGCATGCAATGCAGACTATTCCATGCTAATTATTGAGAAAACTAAACATGGATGCTTGCTTATATTAGTTGACAAAACAAGAATAAACAGCAAATTCAGTTGTATCATGAGCTGTAAGATTTATTGCTAATTATGAAAGTAAACACAAAATTGCATGTATATATGGAAATAAAAAATCTATATATATAGTAAACAGAAATGAACCCAAGTCAAGGATTTCAAAGCAAACTGAATATGTTCGCAATTAGAATCTCACCTGATAATTTTCTGCAGAAATGTGGGTATGAGTATTTTTTTTTTCTCGCATAATCAATTTGTCAAACAGTTGGTTCACATGACAAAGCAATAAATTGAGCAGGTTTTGAAGAACAATCAGCGTGTTTGGTTTGAGTTTTCTGGATTAAGTTTTTTGAAAACTGAGTTTTTTGATTTTCGTATTTTTTTGTTTTTAGTGAATATTTTTAAAATTTTAAACATTTTTTTTTACTTTTTTAGATGTACCTTACTTAGATGTATCTAAAAAGTAAAAAAAAAATGTGAAAAAATATTTTAAAAAATTAAGAAATACATAAAAATACAAAAAAATGTACTGAATTCTTGTTTTTTTTTTTTTTGTATTTATGGTATTTAGTGAATTTCTAAAAGATTTTTTTTACAATTTTTTTACTTTTTAGGTGTATTTATGTTAGGTGTGTCTAAAAAGTAAAAAAAATTGCATAAAATATTTTAAAAATTCAATAAAAACAAAAAAACATGAAAATTAAGAAAGTAGAATTTTCTGAAAACTGTTTTTAGAAAAATGGAACCAAACATAGTGAATGCAATGTGCAAACCTTTTCAAAAGCAACAACTAATTTAAAAAGTGCAGAAATGTGGGTATCAATATTTTTTTTCTCTCATAATCATTTTGTCAAACAGTTGGTTCGCATGACAAAGCAATAAATTGTATAGTGATAAACTGTATAGTGATTGGAGTATTGACAGTCAATGGCGTTCATATACTTAATTATGATCTTCACCACAACCATATAGACAAACCAGTTCAAGAACAGGAAATAAATCCAAATTGAGAGAGAGAATGACAACCCAAATAAAATTGAATTGAAAATACCAAAAGAACTAAAAATACCAAATAAAATTGAACTGAAATTGAACTGAAGGTGAGAGAACAATCGACTCTTTCCTCCCAACAGCAGTCAAAAAATTGAACACCTCATTGGCTTAATGCTAGGGAAATAGACACAGCCATCAGAGGTAAACAAAAACAAAGAGAAAAGGGGAGAGGAAGAAAGAGAGAGAAGGGAACACCTCATTTTGCTAATGTAAACAAAGAACTAAAGAACTTACCTCTGTTGAATTGAAGAATAATGGGTTTGAATTGCAGCAAAGATCAGTTTGAAGGGAGCCGAGCGAAGCGGGATAAACAGAAATGAACCCAAGTCCAGGATTTGAAAGCAAACTGAATATGTTCACAATTAGAATCTCACCTGATAATTTTCTGTAGAAATGTGGGTATGAGTATTTTTTTTAATTTGTCAAACAGTTGGTTCACATGACAAAGCAATACTTGGGTTACATGCTCTCGCAACAGAGCTCGGCAATTGTTTCTTTCCGAACCCAACATTATAAACAATTCACTATCTTCATTCTCTCTCATTGGCTTAATGTTAGGGAAATAGACACAGCCATCAGAGGTAAACAAAAACAAAGAGAAAAAGGGAGAGGAAGAAAGAGAGAGAAGGGAACACCTCATTTTGCTAATGTAAACAAAGAACTAAAGAACTTACCTCTGTTGGATTGAAGAATAATGGGTTTGAATTGCAGCAAATATGAGTTTGAAGGGAGCCGAGTGAAGCGGGAGGGGTGCGTGTGCGAAGGGTGGGTGGTCTTCAATGGCGGCGATCCAACAACCAAAAACAAACACAGAGAGAGAAGGAAGATAAACAAAGAGGGAGATAGAGAGAAGGAGGGAATGAGAGGAGACGAATTGAAGCCAGTCGGAGAGAAGGGGGAGATAAAGAAGAGGAACAAAGAGGGAGACAGAGATAAGGATGAAATGGGAGGAGACGTGCAACAGAAAGGAAGAGGGAGAGAGAGATAAAGATAGAAGGGGGAGGAGACGTGGGGGAGAGAGAGAGAGAGAGAGAGAGAGCAGAGTGCGTTTGGGCGGGGAAACAAATTACTCTCAACCGTTAGATATTCATTAGGATTGATCTAAACCATTCAAATGAAGTGTATCTCTGATACATTTTATATATTTTCAAAAACTGTTCTATCTTATTATATAGATTTTTTGTGATTTTAACATAAATTTTTTATCTTTTACCTTCAATTTTTTTTTTCCCATCCAATGAAAAAAAAGAATGTGAAAGGCCCTAGAAATTTATTATTTGATTATCGGCTTTGGGTCCTGAAAATCTCCGGGTCAGGCCTGATTGTGTTGGTAACTGCTACTTGATGATTACCATTGTTCGTGTATGGAAAAGTGAAGTAAAAAAATGAAGGAAAATTTACCCATAAGTTCTAGTTTTTGAAACGTTGAACCATTTAGTCCTAAAAGTTTTCTTATGCTCCATTTAGTCCCATTTTTACATCAACTTGATGTGAATGATGTAAATGATCTGATGTTTCATTCTATAATTTCAAAATTTATTGAAATCTGATGAACATTAGATGTTTTTCATCCTATATTTTCAAACATTATTGAAATTTGATGAACATTAGATGTTTGAAATCCAATGTTTGTAACATGACTCTGATGTTATTAACATTGTATCTGATGTTATTAACATTGTAATAGGACCTTTCCGTCTATAAGAAAACTTTTAGGACTAAACAGTGCATAAGTTATTAATTTGGGATTTATTGGTGCATCCCCCAAAAATGAATGATACTGGGCTCACCGATACCTCTAGCAACGATGTTGGTGACAACCATTGTTTGCACAAATCGTTGCTCCACTACTAGATTCGACGACAAAAGAGAAAAACCAAACAAAATTGTATCATCTTGAATCTGGCATCGTTGGGACCTAGGAAAGGTGGGCTGAAGTCAATTAAAGAGGGTAGTGGCGAATATTTCCAAGATATTTTTGCACTGAAGAACCTAGTCAATTCATATAATTGGGGCATCGTCTTCTTCGCTCCTGTTTGAAGAACCTAGTCAATTTATAATTTTGGAGCATCGTCTTCTTCAAAAAATAGGATGATGATGGTGAAGATATTTTTGCTTTAATCCTGTTTGAACTTCTTCTTCCCTCTTGTTTGAAGTAGAATTGTAAATTGGGATAAATTAAAGTGTGTATATTTTGAGGGTAAAGTGTGTGTACATATGAGTGAATGATTTATTTATAATTTTAAGGATGTGAATTGAGATAATTACTTAATAATTAAATTAATAGAGATGTGTATTGAGAAAAGATTTGCCCTGAGTTTATTAGGGTGGTGGAAATAGAATTTCCCCTCATGCATGTAAGGCGCAGCTTGAGAACTAAAGGTTCCAAGCATCTGCTTCGACCTGTCAACTAAAAAAGAAACATAGAAGAGTCCTCACCATCTGAGGGTGTAAACAAAAAATGAACCTTCGCTCTTAGAGAGAGAGAGAGTATCGTTGAGACCAGTTTTCCAACCAATTTTAATGTACCTCAGGCTAGAAACAATATTGTTGCTGACCTGAATGGAGAATCTCAGATGGAAACAGGTGTCTTCTTTCAGTGTAAACCACACGCCTTTGGGGTCCCCATTCACAGGAATCTCAAGAACAAGATCAGGTCGACCAGGGCAGAGGATAGTAAGGCTCAAAATTTGGACATCTAGTTATAGAGTTTCTACAATATGGAAAATAGAACAATCAAATCATCCCAATTGAAAGCAAACCAATCCACACATAGTTAAAAACAACATCAAGGACTGAGAGATCTGTAAATTTTGTCAAGTCCAATTCCTCGTACAGATTATCCCATTTGAAAGCAAACCAATCAACTTAGTTAAAAACAACATCAAGGACTAAGAGAACAGTAAAATTTGTTAAGCCCAATTACTCGTATAGATTATCACAAATTAATGTGTGGAAGGAATAAGATATTGACTAAAACACAAAGATAATACTCGAGTAACAGTCAAAGTTCACAATCATTTTTACAACAAGCCCCCTCCACACCCCCTTCTCCAAAAATCAAGGAAAATACACATAAAAGTTTAAAAAAAAAATTAAAAATAAATAAAATCAATATTATTTTAAATAAATAAATAAATAAGCTGAACGGGGTTCACCTAACTCAAACTAAATATTTCAGACAAAGCCTTTGCATTATGGAAATGTGAATAGTTAAAAAAACATAGATTTGCCATGTTATGAGCTTTCATATGAAGATAAATATATACGATGAATGTGCAAAAAAGGGCACGGGATTCTCTGTTCAACATAGCTGTCCCCGTGTTTCCAAATTCTAACCCTATAATTGTCTCAAAATTATTGTGTTTTGAGATTCCAACCACATTGTGCAACTAGGAATACATTGGGCATAAGGGGGATAGAAAATCCTTGGCTTTTCTAAAACCGGTTTTCATGAAAAAAAAATTTTGAACAAAAAGTATTTATGTTGAAAATATAAATAAAAAAAAATTTAATGTTGAAACCGGCTTTTCTAAAACCGGTTTTCATTAAAAAAAAATTTAGACCAAAAAATATTTATGTTGAAAATATAAATTAAAAAAAAAATTAATGGGAAAACGGTTTTACGAAAACCGTTTTTAATTAATTCAAAATAATTAAAATCTTAATCAAAAACGGCTTTAGAAAAGCCGGTTTCTATTTTGAAATTTTATTATTATTTTAATCGATGAATACGGTTTTGCGAAAACCGTTTTCTAAAAAACGGCATTACGAAAACCGTTTTACCCTATTTTGGGAATAAAGATAAAAACACACTTTAAAATGGGACTAAAATATTCAAAATGGCACAAAGAGGGAAATTGGCCGGAGAGGAGACGTGGGAGAGAGAGAGAGGGTAGAGTGTATTTGAGCGGGAAACAAATTACTCTCAACCGTTAGATATTCATTAGGATTCATCTAAACTATTCAAATGAAGTGTATCTCTAATACATTTTGTATATTTTCAAAAACTGTTCTATCTTATTATATAGATTTTTTGTGATTTTAACATAAATCTTTTATCCTTTATCTTCAATTTTTTTTTTTTCATTCAATGAAAAAAAAGAATGTGAAAGGCCCTAGAAATTTATTATTTTTTTTTTTCATTCAATGAAAAAAAAGAATGTGAAAAGCCCTAGAAATTTATTATTTGATTATTGGCTTTGGGTCCTGAAAATCTCCGGGTCAGGCCTGATTGTGTTGGTAACTACTACTTGATGATTACCATTGTTCGTGTGTGGAAAAGTGAAGTAAAAAAATGAATGATATTGGGCTCACCGATACCTCTAGCAACGATGTTGGTGACAACCATTGTTTGCACAAATTGTTGCTCCACTACTAGATTCGACGACAAAAGAGAAAAACTAAACAAAATTGTATCATCTTGAATCTGGCATCGTTGGGACCTTCCCAATGTGGCTATTACCGTCGATGATGAACATCATTGCCAACCAAATTTGTTTATAGACCACCCTTCTTCTCCACCATCGATCTTCCACACACTAGCAAACCACACTTCCTTACCCTCAACCACTTCTATACCAGTCAAATTGTAGCCCAAAAACTACCTACTGACCTCCCTATTCTCTCTCCCTCTATTCGTTCCTCCCTTTGTGAGATTATGATTACGGGTATGGGTTGAGTTATTTGGGTTTGGGTTTGGATTTACAATATGAAGGTTAAAATTGGAATTTGACAACTTTTATTACTGATGTCATCAAAATTTATTTGTTGACCTAATGTATACTTAACAGAAGGGGATAGTTGTAATATGATTTGAAATCTTAAGGAGTGCATTGTAATTTCTCAAATATCAAGGAGAATCTATAATAGATGCAAACCTCAGAGGGTGTTATTGTAATTTACCCTTTCTTTTATTAGTTTACTAATACAGAGAGAGAGAGAGAGAGGACTATTAGATATTATGAGATTACTTCTTCTTCTTTTTTTCTTTCTTTTTTTTTTTTTTTGTTTTTTTGAAAAAAAAAAAAAATCAAAAAGATTTTTTTTTTTGAAAAAAAAAAAAAATCTTCATTTAACTATCTAATTCAGAAATTGGTTCAATTCACCTATTTACTTTCACTTTTCTAACTAAACGTTAAACTAAATATTTTATTGAACACGAAGTTCAATTTCATAGTTCTATCCCACCAACCAAGTAGGCTATAGTTGTTGATTTGTATCACATTCTTCAAGTCATTAGATCGTGTGGACAAACACAAGTTATTTGATTTTCTTGGATTCTTAATTGACATAGAGGACAAACCCAAGTTATTTGGGTGTATAAGGTACCTATTATATATATTTGTGTACGTGATCACAAATATATATAAGTTATCTCATAAAATTACATAAATTTTAAAAAAATATGTGTAAGTTACCTTACAAAATCGTATAAGTTTTCACAAATATATATATAAGTTACCTCATAAAAATTTATGATCATAAAATTGTGTAAGTTTTCACAAATATACGTAAGTTAACTCATAAAAATTTGAGAAATCACAACTTACGTATATATGTAAAAACTTACGCAAGTACATTTGGTATGAACTTGCACACTTAAGAATTTCCCTTAAAATAAAACACAAAATTTTATTCGTTGAACTAACAAATTTAAATGGATTGTCACATAAATTTACTCTGAAAATAAATTATAATTTCCCAGTGGAGGAACATTTTTTATGACAACATAAGGCAGTAGAAAGAACACTACATTTGATTTTTGACAAGGAAAAGTAAATCCATACAAATTAGTAAATATTGCAAAGTTTTCATTTAGTTATTGATATTACATTTATCATTTATTTTTATGTGAACCTTGCTTTCTCAATTGTATGATGGGGTACTGCATCAGTTTAATGCGATTTATATAGGATTAGACAAAAGTGATGGTGTGCTTTTGATAATATCTATGAGTACTTTGCTATGAAATTTGTTTATGATGGTGGTCTCTTGGGGTTTCAATGCAGCCACATTA